CCTCTATCTGAAGGGTTTTAATAGGTGCAGTATAGAAAATGTTTTCATTGGAGATCTTTTGGATTTTGCTTCTTTTTTTAAAAGTTAATAGGAGGAATTTTATGATTTAATTTCTATTTCCACAAATCTTTTTGAGATTTCCAGAGCTAAATTACTTTCTTCTTTGTTTTTCTTCTTCTCCTTTTCACTGGGGCAGACACATGAAAGGAGTTCACAATTTAGGGTAGTAATATTTCTAAAGTTTTGATATTCATTCTCATTTCTCAGTTTAAAAAAAGATCTATAGTCACACTCTTCCCGGCCTTATACTCATTATTACACGTTAAAGGTAAAGACCAGTATTGGAAACGCCCCAATTTCAAAAAATGAAATGGAAGCTCTCATTACCATTCATGTGAAAGAATATGTTTTAACTAATACATGATGATAAAAAATTTGCCGGGAAACCGCCTACTAATTCATATATTTGGTAAATTTGTTTCTCTCATGGTCTGTGAGAGATATAGGGTAGTCCCATATATATATCTTTCTGTGTATAGTGCTTGTAACTTTACGAAGAATGGGCCAAATTTCTTATCATTTTGATGATTCCAGAACCTTGCAGATGCTAGATGCTAGATGATCAAACTTTTCTGATCGATTCCACAACGTTTCTTTCACAATGCAATCGCATGACGATAACTGGTCTTTACCTTTAAAGAAAACCTGGAAAGGCTAAATGAAGTTAGCAAGAGTCTTTCCCTTGAGATCCCATAAATTCAAATGAAACAATATAATCGACAACCCAATAATAACAATCTAAATTGTGTTTAAAAAAACACACATTTACATTGCCATGGAGATCCACCATACATGTGCATGTAGACAGATCTTTAAAAGAGACATTCTTGCATGTTCCAAAAGGTTAGATTTGTTTGTAAAAAAGAGAGAAGACTTCAGACAGAAAAGTTCAAGAAGGCCTGCTGAAAGCTGGAAAAACATGACTTTCTATTCAGGATGACTCATATCCATATAACTGTCAAACTCTTATTGAGACAACTGCATGTTGCCGAAGCCATAAGCATAGAAATTGACAGTCAACTTGACAGTCAACTTGGCAACTTGTCTTCCAAAGGCTACAGCCATGGCAAGTATCCAGAATATAGATATATAGAGAGAGAGAGAGAGAGAGAGAGAGAGAGAGAGAGAGAGAGAGAGAGAGTGGTAGAGAGATAGCGGGGGACAGGTGGAGAAAGAGGGGAGAGAGAGAGAGAGAGAGAGAGAGAAGGGAGAAAAAGAGGCAGGCAGGAGAAAAAGAGGCAGGCAGGTAGAGAAAGAGAGTGGGAGAGTAAGAGAGAAAAAGGAAGAAAAAGGCTTTATAAGGAGAGAAAAGGAGAGTAGTAAATTGGGGGAAAACTTGTTAAACTTTAGTTGCTATTAACTTTAAGGAATAAATAACCACTACCCCTCAAATGGAATTTTCTTACATGTAGATAACAAATAAATCACTTGCCTCATGATGCACCTGAATCTGTAAGGTTCTGTAATTTGTTATTGATTTTTTTTTTTGGGGGGGAGGGGGTGCTTGCTTTGGACACATAATTAGATGAAATAAATGGCCTTGAATTTGGGCAAACATCATTTTGTCGCTGTTTTCACGAAGTGACGGTAGTAAAAAAAAATTGCATTCACTTTGCGTGCCGATTTTCCTCACTACCGTCACTTCGTGAAAACAAGGACGATTTGTCATGGCTCTCTCCATATTTGAAAAGTTTGAGGGCACTCTCTTTTATGATTTTTATCGTGAAGGTGAAAATGCTTCAGGACAGTAAATCCCAGGGCAGCATAAAATCTTGGTATTTCAATCAGAACTTCTCTAATCCTCTCATGAACCCTGGTTTCTTAATTGTGATTGGAACTTCAAGGGAAAGCCGAGTAATGGTACAGGTGGGGGGAGTTCCTGATGAGCATTCTCTTTACTTTTCGTGTCAGCTGAGAGAAACTTCCATGTGAATGACGATACATTTTAGCTTGGTTGGTCTTATGACGATCCACATTTCACATTTTAATGCAATTTTTAATTATAGTGATGGATTTATTTCAGAGAGCATACCTGTCAGTAAAAGTTTATCTTTAATAATTATTTGGCATTAAAATTATGAGAAAACTAACAAAAAATTGCTACAATTCATACTTTATAGATAGAAAAAATTCACATTCTTACCTTGTTGTGTGCATGTGAGTTGAGATAACTACACCTTAGCTCAATTTCAATAAATTCAATTGCTCACAACTATGCTACAGGTTTATCAGTTAACTTTCTTGTCAGTTTTAAAAAATGAGTGTAATTTCATTTGATTCAGTAATAATCTACCTTTATCAGAACTCCCTTTGAACTGTAATGTGTGTTGAAAATGAGGATAGCTGATGGGAATTAAGTGCTTCACAAGTACTATAATAGAACTATGTGAAGTACTGTGAAATCCAATTGTGGGATTTGATTACTGTTTAATGAGCCGTTACTTTGATACATTCACTCAAATGTGTCTATTATGCGTGAACCTTTATGAACCACAAAAATTTGTAGATTGTAAAACATTTGAACAAATCGCAAACATGATACTACCCATTACTTTTAAACAAAATGAAAAGTGCATCCAAAAACAAGTTTTTCAGGCAGCCAAACACAAATTGTTGAACTTCAAAATTGATAAAAATCTTTTGTGTCTTTTTTCTCTTTTCCCTATCATTTTTTATTATTATTTAATTGTTTTTATTTGTCTTTTTTTCTTCAACTTATTCTGTCATTTGCTAGAAATTCAAAATTGATCAAATCAATCATGTCTTTTTTTCTCTTTATCTTATTCATTTTTGGTTATTATAATTGTTTCTTTTTGTCTATTTTTATTATCATTCTTTCATCAAACATAAAATTGGTTAGATTCCTGGATAACTAGGCTCTCATATTTGACAATATCATCATGCAACATACATGTATCTCATGTACACAGTATATGCTAATGAACATGAGTGTACAAAAGTCAGAACATGCCCTCCCATTATAGTTACATTCCTGACATCATCACATCTCTGAGATTATTGGCTTAAACCATCCTTAAATACATAGAGGCTTATTCATGTAGAAGATATCCAAGATAGTCATCTCTCAGTGATTAATGCAGGCTTTTTTAATCTGAGCTGATTGTAATCATCCACATAGCATGCACCCAAAAATAAAGACTCTTACAAAGCAACAGGATATTATCAGAGAGGTGTCACCTTTTCATGAAACAAACATGAAGTAAAACCGGAACTATTATCTTTGAAAATATATTTCCTTACCCAAACAATAGGATGATCAAGCCACTCCAGCAACTGTTGTCAGACAGTGGCTTTTCACTTCCAAAGTCATTACAGGTATTGTTTTGTGGTTTAAACAGTTGGGTTTTAATATAGAAAAATTGTCTGGAAATACCTTCTATTACTTTTAAACATCACGTTCCTCTTAAAATAGAACGAGTAGTTTCATGAAGTAGCAAGTTATCGTCTCTCTCCCCTCCTCTCTCTCTCTCTCTCTCTCTCTCTCTCTCTCTCTCTCTCTCTCTCTCTCTCTTCATACTGTAAGTCTGTGAAATATAATCTTACATGATTTCCTTGAACAGAGAAGATAAATGTGGTAGTTTTTCCTTCAAATGAGGTGCAGTGGTGGTACAGGGATTCCTACACATACTAATGTATCTCAATTCACTCAAGCAATAGTAAATTTCCCTACATAAGATTTCCTATTCCACTCTTGCTTCATATTTAAAACCCATTCATAGTTTTGGCCTAATTGTAAAAGCATATTTTTACAAAATCAAATGTACAAGTATTATGTAAAGTCATAAATATACAAGTGACTCGTTATTTTGTAGACATTATGAAGGCAAAATCCAGAACCTCATATTTCAGTAAGTTGTTGAATACCCTTTCAAAAATTCAAAGACTTTTTGTATTAGAGATAATTAAGCCTTCATTATGTCATTAGAATGGTAATGACTTGGGATTCCAAGGCAGTTCAAACTATTTGTGGATGCACACTCTGAAAGCTTAGCATGGGATTAACATGGCCTCCATATACCATTGATCGGACATACATGTGTAGCTCCAGCAACATTTGCTCAGGGCTTTCTCTCCTTATAGATTCAGGGTTAGCAGTAGGCAGCTGGCAGTAGGGTTGCAATTTGCTTTCGACAATTGATCATAATATCTGTCGAACTGTCTGTCCTTCTATCACTATTTCATTACAGGTACATAGATTTCTAACTTTATTGCTACTCATGTACCTACCTATTTATCTATAGATCTATCTTATCTATCCCTCCATCCATTCATCCATCCACCTATATATATATTTATCTCTCTGTCTTTTTATCAATCATATCAGTCAGTCAGTCAATCAATCAATCAATCAATAAGACCCCGTTCTCACTCACTTTGAAAGTTAGACCGCTCCAGACCGCTCCAGAGGAACGGGTCTTGAGGAACGGTTTGCGAGCGTTCACACTCCGAGCAGTTTTTATGGCTCAAACTGCTCCACGAGTCAAAGTGGTCTTGTTGCTATGGCAGCTCAGGTAGGCGGGTCAATTTTTCGTGCGCGGAATCCAAACCCTATGTCACCTGATGTCCCGTTTGCGACGCGTCCCCACTGATCTCTACGGAAATTAAGATCAGTGCGCGTCCCGTATACATGTATGTGTGTAGTGCCTGCCCGATCGCTCATCGCGCGGAACGTCACTTCCGTTCAGAGTACGCTTTCCGTTCACATTGCACGTTAGAGCGCTCTGGAGCGCTCTTAATAAGACCCGCTCCTCAAGACCACCTCGGAAGGTGGACTTCTGGAGCGGTCCAGAAGTCCGCTTCCTGGACCACTTTGAGCGTTCTCATTCACCTAGCAACCGCTCCTGAGGAGCGGGTCTTAGTTAGAGCGCTCCAGAGCGCTCCAACGAAGTGAGTGAGAACGGGGTCTAACTAATGCTTACCTATCTCTCTGTTCTTCTGCTCCTTCACTGGGGGGAGGAAATGTCCTCTTCTGTACAAAGTGAGTAGATAACTTCTGTAGACTCTGCAAAATATCAAAATCAATTATGAATTATGAACAATGCTTTAATTGAATAAATCACAATATGGAGATAATGTGAGCAAAATGTATTTATGATAGTATGCAAGGGGAAAATACCTTCCAGAAAATGAACTTGTACCCCCCTCCCCCCCCCCCCCCCCAACTTCATTTGTGCTTAGTGCTAAATTGCACTTTATTGCTTTCATATTTATGAGTAGTTCGACCAAGTTCTTTGTAATAAAGGGGGCATATTTGTTTGAAATCCATTTGACAGTGTATTTTCTACTGAACTGAGTTGACACATCCTAAATACAAACAATATACATGTACATACAGTATGTACATGTATATGCACTAATATCACACTCAAATGTTATTCTCAGTTCAGTCATTTGTACTTTCGTTATTGTTTATCTCAAAAGGTTGAAGTGGCAATTGATTACACATGAGTCTGTATATTCATGAAAATTCATGAAACATGTAAGGCTGGTATGCCTATGGTAATTTAGGTCTGTTTGCACTGAAAGTTACAGTTTTGCCTTGGTATTAAAACCTGGAAGGGATCAAAGTACAAGTGGACTGGGGTCAAGAGGCATTTAACTTAGACCGAGTTAGAGTGGTCAAATGAGCAAACTTATCTCTTTTCTTTTTCTTTGTTTACTTTGCTTTGAAATTTAAGATGGGAATCCTTTCACAGAAGTCAATGGAAGAGCTCCGTTTCCACTGATCCGCCAAGAAACACTATGCGGGTCTTAAAAGCTTATACACTGTAAATACTAATTTGGATGACAATTACTTTTTTACTTTGAAATCAAACAGTGAATATACTCTGTAATATAGGTCCACAGATTCGTACACACTACAAAAGGCTACAGTGAAGGTCTGTTCACACTGGCAATTACAGTTTGGCTTTGGAATTGAACACTGGACCGGGTCAAAGTACAAGTAGACTGAGTATTTTGAAGTACATGTGGCATAACTTAGACTGGTCAGATAAGCTAATTTACCTCTTTTCCTTTGTTGTTTCATACAAGTTTGAATAGACACAATACACAGAAAATGATAAATGAGTTTATACTTGAGTTTATATGTACTACTTGATGGCTACTGGGGGAAGCATTGTTAAAGGGATCGTTTAACAATGTTAAATCTGAGATGCATGGCCCTACGTGTTATTAGTGTCTGTGATATGGTGTTATAGTGAAGCCCTAAAAAAATTGCACTTCAAAATGATCAAGAAGTGCCTCAAAAAAGTAAAAACCTTTGAGTGACCGGTTTTACCATACTCATTTTCCCCAATAGACTAGTGGTATGAAAACCATTTGGCAAAAGCAAAATTTGATTTAGATTTTCAATCATAAATATCTTGATAATCAGACAGGCGATCGGCTTGTTAAAGACATGGGGTTCCTGACTGACCTAAAGGTTTATAATTATCATTGCAGCATGAGCTAAATCAAGGATTTTTTTAAAAGGATCCCTCTAACAAGCGTTCAGTCGAAGATATTTAGATTTTTCAAAGTTTGCTAAGAGGCAACAAAGTGAAAGTAAGGGAATCATCTTCATCCAAAAGAAATGTTTGACAGTATCAGTATTGAAGAGTGATTGATTTGTCAAAAAATGTCATATTCATACACAAGGAAGAAGTTCAAAACACAACAGAAAAGAACTTGACATGCAATATCAATAATTTTGGAGTAGGCCTACTGCCCTACTTACATGTAGAATACGGTATATAAATAGTTGTTCTCAAAAACATTGATTGATTTTCCCCAGATTTTGTCAATATCATATCATGCAGTTTGAACAGTACATCTCTGTACATTTACAGTACAGCCAGTCGGCCATGTTTGGCAAATATCGTTTTATCCTTTCTGCTTTTTTTCCTCAGAAACCTTGAATACAATCTCATATGGTTATTAGATATGAACAACCATGAATATGATCTCAGTATTCTAAAGAGCTAAAAATGAACTGATATAACATATTTTGCTTGTCTCACATTGGCCCAAGGGCATTTGCATTAACTAATATATATATATACCATTCAGGCTCTCAGCAGACAATATACATGCCGGTAGTTTAATTGTTGTTCATGTATTAATGACTCCAATTCTTTATAAGTTTAGATTTCAATGGATTTAAGACCTTAAAACCTAAATGAACAAAACATGTGATGATATGTATTGCACATTTACATGTAGACATTGTACTGGGCATGCTAATAAGGTCTTTTGATCCATGATCATGTGAGCTTTAATGTACAGTCATTTATCACATTACTTTGATGATTACATATCACAATTGTTACAATGTCCATTCACATGATCAAATATGACTGCATGTACAGTGGGAAGATTGTGAACATGTAGGCTTACATGTACATGTACATCCTAATGTCTATTTGAGTAGCTTTAATCAAGTAAAATCCAATTTACCACAAGATCTATAACTCACAATAATCAAAAAATGGCCTTTTCTCTCCAGATATTTTTTCGATTCAATTGCTAAATTTTGATGGTTAATAAAAAAGAGATTCCACCTCTTTATAATAATTAAGTTCTCTACTATAACATGTAGAAGAAGAAGATCATGTAGTAATAGTAGTAGTAGTAGTAGTAGTAGTAGTAGTAGTAGTAGTAGTAGCAGTAGCAGTAGTGGTAGTGGTAGTGGTAGTAGTAGTAGTAGTAGTTGTAGTAGCAGTAGTAGTAGTAGAAGTAGTAGTAGCAGTAGTAGTAGTAGTAGTAGTAGTAGTAGTAGTAGTAGTAATAGTAGTGGTAGTGGTAGTGGTAGTGGTAGTGGTAGTGGTAGTGGTAGTGGTAGTGGTAGTAGTAGTAGTAGTAGTAGTAGTAGTAGAAGTTGTAGTAGCAGTAGTAGTAGTAGTAGTATTAGTAGCAGTAGTAGTAGTAGTAGTAGTAGTAGTAGTAGTAGTAGTAGTGGTAGTAGTAATAGTAGTAGTAGTAGTAGTAGTAGTAGTAGAAGTAGTAGTAGTAGTAGTAGTGGTAGTGGTAGTGGTAGTGGTAGTGGTAGTGGTAGTAGTAGTAGTAGTAGTAGTAGTGGTAGTGGTAGTGGTAGTGGTAGTGGTAGTGGTAGTAGTAGTAGTAGTAGTAGTAGTAGTAGTAGTAGTTGTTGTTGTACATTGTGGTAATATAGTAGTAGGACAGTCGTAGTGACGACTACTACTACAACAATTCCTACATCAATATTTATGATGTATCACTGCCATACTATTGCTAATGTTTTTAAAGAGTGTAACTAAAGTACATCAAATCATATTAAATCAAATCAAATCAATCAATACCACAGCCACCTTTCACACAATCTGTGACGTTTTCCTTGACCTATAACTTCCACAAATTCAGAGGCCCGGAAAGCGAGGAAAGTTCGTTTTTACAACAGGTAATGTGCAAGGAAGTGAGCAAATGTTGCCATGGTAACAGGAGCATATGTCCCAAAAAGGAAACCACTTCATCATGCTCCCGACATAGTGGTATGTGCCATCAATCAAGAGGTTCACCACAAAATATGTTTGGAGAGGAATTATCACTATGGTCTGGGGTTAAAGAGAAAGTTGAGTTCTGGGGTTAGGTGAAAAATAATTTGTGAGCTATATTATTCTTGTTAAATGCAAGTGTTGAAGAACAGAGAAAAAATGTTCCCTGAAAGGCATGGCTCTTCAAATGCCTTCATATTCTAAATATGACAACTGACAAGTAACAGCTTAAAATGAGGCCAGATTTTTATGCCTCATGTTTGTGTAGTCTCATATTAGGGCTGCGACATGTAGTCGAATGCTTGAGTACCCGCACAGTTGACAACTACTCGGGTACGATTTCTCGTACCCGAATATTCGGTCGCAAAAAAAAAAAAACACGCTTACCCATGCCTGGGCGAGCGGCGGCCGCTGGCATGGTGCCATCAGTAAAAATGTTTCCCAACTCAAGCACTGTCAAACTCACCACTCAGAAACTGGGACCAAATGTCTGGATTTCTGTTTGGACTTGTAGGAAAATGGATTATTCTGCCATCTTTGGTTTTTAAAACAGCATTGTTTACTGTTATTATTATTATTAAATCAGCGCCTTCAACTGCAACTCGAGGTAAAATTGCATGCGTTTTCGACGACAGAACTGGGATACTGCTCCAAAGGTATGGTGGTGGCAAAAAAAACAAAAAAAAATCAAAAAAATCAAAAAAATCAAAAAAGTTTTAAATTTTTTTTTAAAAATTATAAAAAGACATGGCGTCCGAATATTCGAGTATTCGCTGGTAAGCCTGGGAGTGTACTCGGGTACCTCATTACACTGTTGTACACAGCCTTATCCCATATACACATCTTTCTGTGTACAGTGCTTTTTACTTTACCAAGACTGGAACAAATTTCTTATCCTTTTGGTTACTCCAAAACCTTGCAGTACAGCACACCAGTATTTACATGTACTACATGATCAACTCTTTCTGAACGATTCCACAACCGGGACACCGTTTCTTTCACAATGCAATCGCATGACAAGTACTCAACTTTATCTTTAAGGGCACATGTACATGTATGGAGTATGTTGACAGCTGACAGGAAGATAACATCCATTTTTAGGTCATTGTGTGCATGTGTAACATACTGTACATGCAAACATTTGAATCTAAAATTTGTTAGATCCTGCATCATAGCTTGGGAGCAGAGGAGCCTGGGAGGGGGTCTTAGAGGGGGAGGCTGGCCCCCTTCTACATGCACAAGACCAAGGAAGTTTTGAAATTTCACAAGTAAAATGTTGCATTTCAGGCTATTTGGAGGTCCCATTTCATTGATCACTAATTGATGAGATTGCCAGATATATATACTCACTACTGGTTATGCCATTAAATTATTTTTAAATTGAATTTATTAATAATTCATTATTCAAATTATGATTAACCCAAAAGCGGTAGCTTTCTGTAAAAAGTCGGTAGGCAACTTTACATTTCTCAGAAAAGTGGCAGTCTATCGACAAAAGCGGTAGAGTTGG